TGCCTCCTGGCGTGACTGGGCCAGACTGGGAGTGTCACGGGGGCGACAGACAGACAGTGACGTCAGTCATTAGTGCCACCCAGGGACAGCCGCCCACCACCACCCTCATGCCTCTCACACTCTCCGTCACCCTCCCTCACACTCTCCGTCACCCCTCCCTCACCTCTCTCCTGCTCTCCCTGTTTGTCCCTCCGCTCCTTATCTTCCTCAGTACCCTCAACTTACACACACACACACACACACACACACACACACACACACACACACCTGTCCTCCCACAATATTCACATCAAATTGCTGACCTTTTCCCAGCCTCGTGACCTCACCAAGTGACCTTCCCCAGCCATACGTCCCCAAAAGTGACCCCATAACATCGGCGGCAGACTAGCACTTCCAGGAAAGATGCACTGTGGCCCTTCCGCAGGAAATGTAAAGGGCAGCCCAGGACGTAATTAATATAAGAGTTATAATTTTGGCCGTGGTGGCGCAGGTCTTGTGGCCGCGTCACCTTGGAAAACCGCAGGGGGTGACTTTTAGGGGGACCCACCATTCATGGTTGACATTCTCCTGTATGGTGGTTGTGGGTAGTAGGTGGTTGTGGTGGTAGGTGGTGGTGGTGGTAGGTGGTGGTGGTGGTAGGTAGTGATGGTAGGTGGTGTTGGCAGTAGGTAGTGATTGTAGTAGGTGATGGTGGTAGATCGTGATGATAGTAGGTGGTAGTGGTAGGTGGTGATGGTAGTTAGTGGTGATGGTAGTTAGTGGTGATGGTAGTTAGAGGTGGTGGTAGTTAGTGGGGGTGGTAGTGCAATTGTTTCTGGTCCTGTTAAAAGTCCAGTCGTTGTTTTTGCGACTGTTGTTGTTGCTATTGTTGATTTTTCCACTGTTATAACACATACCTCCATATACCGTGTGGGCGAATGAATGTGTGTGGGTGCATGTGTGTATATGAGACACACACACACACACACACAGTCCTCCCACAGTCACCCACTCCAAGTCTCTGTTTGGCATTAGCTTCCATTGTCCTCCTCCTCCTCCTCCTCCAGGTAGGCCATCCCTCACACCTTGGTTGAGGTGCGTCAGTCACCCACCACCACCACCTGTAACCACCACCACATTCCTTATACTTGGAGAATTGTGTGTTATGTCCATCTGCCTTTATTCTTTCACATTATTATTAGTAGTAGCAGCAGTAGCAGTAGTAGTAGTAGTAGCAGCAGTAGTAGTAGCAGTAGTAGCAGTAGTAGTAGCAGTAGCTGCACACAAGAGGAATGAGAACGACAAGATAAGGGCATACTGGAAGAGAATTCAGAACGTTGTTCAAGGCAGCTTCACTCCTCTAGTGCTCACAACCTCTGGTGGGATGGGACCAAGTGCAAGATGCTTCTACGCCAGACTCGCGGGGGTGATATCCTAACAGAAGCAGCAGCCCAGAAGTTATGTTACAGCCTGGATGAAAAGTCGACTGTCCTTCTCTCTCCTTCGGTCGGCTTTGCTCTGCCTCAGGGGAACGAGAGCATCGGCCCCAAAGCCGACAACAGTTGCAGATATTGACTATGAGGCTACAGTCACTGAATGCCGCATAGATCTGCGGCTCAACTAACTCAACACAGCTAGGATAGCTACTTATGTATTAGGATATTTAATATTAAGGTAATAAAATGGTGGCGAAAGAATGGCTACTGGGGGAGGCTGGAGGCCATTAAAAAAATGTAGTAGTAGTAAAAAAAATCTGTCTTTTTCTTCTTATTTTATATTATTCAGATTATTTCCTATTCTTTTTATTCTTCGTTTGTTCTCTTCCTTTTTTTTTCATCATCCTTCATCACCATTCTTGTTCTTTTCATATTATCAATCTTTCTTCTTCTTTTACTTCTAGTTCTTGTTTTTTCTTTTGTATTTAGTCTCTTCCTTCTTCTTCTTCTCCTTCGTTTCCTCCTTCTCGAACACATCTCAAAGGCTATAGAAAATATCAGTGAACCCCCAACGCCCCATACTCCCACAACCTTACCTGGCATTTAATATCCCAGTATTACCTCCATGATCTGAAGCTAGACGTGTTGTGAAGAGCATTTACCGTAGAGTTATCAATGACTTACGTGGGTTGGAGTTTTGGGTCGGTTAGAAGTTAAATCATTATAGTCACTTAAAGACAGAGGTTTAGTTTATTATTATTATTATTAGTAGTAGTAGTAGTAGTAGTAGTAGTAGTAGTAGTAGTAGTAGTAGTATTTTTATTATTATTATCATCATTATTATTATTATTTATTATCGTTAGTAGTCTTTTTATTTGTATTATTATTTTGTTGGAGATATTTCTTGTGTGTTTATGCAAATGTCGAGGAGGTGAGAATGTTGCAGAGGAGGAACGTTTAGAAGTTCCCAGAAGGTGATGTTCAGCCTACAACAACGCGGATGTTTGTCTTGTCTCAGGTCTGGTCAAGCTTTATTAATGCTTCACTTGTTGGTGCTTCAAACTGTATCGAAAATACGTGTTTTGTTTTTTACTTGTATTTGAATGGTGTTGTGGTGAGTGTTGTCTTATGGTGATGATATGGTGGTGATGCTGGTGCTGCTGTTTTATGGTTGTGTTATGATGATGTTATGATGATGATGTTACTACCACCGTGTTGTTAAGATTGTCTGTTATGATTATGTTATGATGAATACAGTAGGTCATGTAATGGTGCAGCTCTAATGGTGAACCTCTTAGGGCGAACCTCTTATGTTTTATGGTGAACCTCTCATGGTGAACCTCTCATGGTTAACCTCAAACCACAAAGCACATAGGCTTATGTTGGAGATGACGTCATGTTACAAGGAAGATCAGTAACCTCCACAGCCCCGACCTCACCAGTCACAATAAAACTCCCTCTAACAGGAAGAGGCCAGAGACAGTGGTTCAGTTTCCTCGGTATGTTTGTTTACACACAACTGACGTCTCACTTGTCCTATACGTTAGGTGGATTCTGTTATTCTATTCCTATCTCTGTCTTTGTATTCCTTAAATGGATGTATTTCGGTAATCATGATTGTTGTAATTATCATTCGTCAATAATATCATCATCGTCAATGTCATCATCATCAATTCATCATCATCTTCATCATTCTCTTATTATATTGTTTTATTATTATTATTACCAGTTGCGGGTACCCGTAGTTGCCCGAGAGAGTGGCAGTGTACTTATTTGAGTGAAAAAAAACCTCTCAAATATTATTCAAATATTATCCATAGTTGTCACACATCATCCCCGTCTTTGTTATGCCCTAAGGCGGTTATCTCACACAGTTTCTTCCACCCCCTTTAATGCCGCGTCACATAACAGTACACCCCCATATGTATAAAACGATTTTTTAATGAGTAAAAATTCGAAAAAACTATTGATTTAATTGTATTTTCTGTTCGTGAGAATTCCTGAGGCTATTTTACACAAATTCACCCAATTTCAGCTCTCTAATAAACTGTGGCCGATCACTGGAGCTAACCCACCAGGCCAAAGTTCCGCCATCTGGGTTCTTGTCACTTCGCCGCGCATGCGCATCTCTTTACCAAAATTTCAAATATCTTTCTTCAAAATTTGAACCGTGAATAGCGACGACAAACAAACAGACGTTAACTTATGTATATATACAGTAGATGTTGGTACTAATATACTGCTACATTATTGAGAGTATACTGTAGTTGTTTGTGTATGTTAGTGTGCAATTGTATGACATATGAATATATACACAATTCCACACACACACACACTGTACTAATTCTTGGATGTTTATGTGAGAGAACGAGAGGTGTGGGTGAGCGAGTGTGATACTGTGAGGGGGAAGGAATGAGTGAGGGGAAGTGAACGAGTGACAGCTTCACTGAATGAGGGACCGAGAGTGAATGAGAGCAAGATAATGAGAGAGTACGAGATAGAGAAGGCAAGTTATGTGAGTTGGAGAACGTGAAAAAGGGAAACAGTGAGAGGGAGAGATAATGCAAGGAAGTTAGTAAGAAGTAGAGAGGGTGACATAACGAAATATGAGAGATAAAGAGAGCCGTGAGGAAATAAGCGCGTGCGAGAGCCGGAGAAAGCGAGGAAATGAGACAGTAAACGCGACCGAGTAAGCAAAAGAGAGAGTGAGTTAACGTATAGGTGAGAAAATACAGTAGGTACCAGGTAGAATTTATATAAACCACCTCTGTCGGTTGTTTAGCGAGCTGGGAGGAAGAGCAGTTATCGGGCAGTGTGATGGACTGGCTTTCATGAAGGCGTCAACACAACTTTCTCTGTGAGTTGTTTTTTCCTTCTTCTTCCTACAGTTGGACCGGACTACCTACCTTTCACTGATCCTCGTCTTTTTTTATGACACGGCAACCGGTGAGAAAATCCTGTCAATATAGTCATTCTTTATTTACTATGCTAGTTGTTTCGCCACTACGCTGTATTTTAAGATTATCCGCTGACTATCCCCTCACTTGGTGACGGGGTAATAACTGTTTATTAAAATAACTAAAAGAGGATAAATAATTCTTGGATTTGCGTGGGCACGAATGGTTTGTCGGATGGTGGTGGTACCTGGAAACTCTGGCAGAGGAAGATGTGTTTGCCTCATTTCTGCTGTTGCTTCTCATCTTTGTGTTTAGGTAGAGATACGTTGCCCTCAACCAACCTCACCGGAATACCCGCAAGGTATTCGATTAGCAAGTAATTATGCAAGATAAAGAAGGTGGCACGGAAACTCTCTACGTCTCGCATCTGTTGCTGCCCCATTGTGTCTTGCCACACATTGTGTTTTTAATACAATATACGACGGTGTTTACTTCTCTCGTAATATAAACTCATCCCGTTATACCTTTTAAGTATTTATCAAATACTGATGACAATTTAACGATTAAGTTATAGGTGTCATTATTGTTTAGTGTGGGAGACTGAGTCAATGTTTTGAAGAAATGGCATCCGAGGAAGGTGAAGCTTGAAGCTGTGGTACCAGTATCGACGAGACGAGCCACCGCGCCTCGTTCCCAACTTCACTCAGTGAGGCCGGAGACCTGAGTGGGAACGTACGCAAATCTTTCGCTCCGGCCTTCGCGACCTTGTTCTATTTAAATGCAAGTGCAGTGTGACAGCGCAAATTAAGATTATGTGAATAATTTTTCCGATGCCACTCTATTCATCCTACCTCATTTCATCAAAGCAACAAGTGCTCTACTGTATTACGAGTAATTAAAGCGATTATAGACATAGAGAAAAGTTGCATGGTTCGAGGTTCGGTGTCAGTGTTTTGTCCGCTTAAAACTAGTCATAATTTTGCACATAAGCATTTTATAAACAGGTTGTCAAGTCGCGCCACAATGGTCAGCTGTACGACGTCGTGTGCTGACTGACAGTGTCGTCTTCAACCACTCAGTAGTCGCAGTATAATAGTTAATTAAACAGACTGCCTTACCTCAGTGCGGCAACGGCACAACTAAATTGGACAAAATGGATCTTCTCTGTTGCGAAAATGCTTCTATGGACCTCGATATGAAGTGCAAAGCTTACTTAGACCCAGTGTTAATTAAAGATGACCGAGTCTTATTAAATCTCTTGAACTTAGAGGAAAAATACATGCCAAATTCGAGTTACTTTTCGTGTGTGCAAACAGACGTTGAACCACACATGAGAGAGATCGTCGCCCACTGGATGTTACAGGTAGGTGGATCTAGTTATCTTTTGCCTGTGTCTGTGCATCTTGAGTTCACTGATCAGTACTGAGGGGTATACAGAGGTATAGATGGAGGTACTGTATTATTCCTGCTTCTCCATATATTGTAATGAAAGGCTGTGATTATAGAATGTTAATTTTATATCGTAAATGGTAAATGATCTTAGCTTTATATGGTGAGGGAATTCTGTAACCTAACTGACACTCCTCGTACAGTATTGAAGGGCTGTAATGGTACATAGTGTGAAGATACAGTAACCTCTTTGTATCGTCAATGTGCACTTATACATAACATGATAATGTTGTTCAAATGTTCTGTAATGTGAAGTTTGTCTGGGTAGAAATATTAAGCTGGTGGGGGGGGGGTATATCTGTGTAGTGCAAGGAGTAGTTTTCAGAAATTTGTCGTTTGGGCATAAATGAATTGTGTATTTTTATGTGGTATAAATAAACGCACGCGTGTGTGTGTGTGCAATGAAAATTTATGGAGCTATGGTCGTTATTGCAATAAAGCTTAACATATTTGTGGCTATCCTGGGTTAGATCTACTTATTATATGTAATTGTTTGCATTCCTTGTGTATTTATGCACATGTTGAACTAATGTGAACTTGTATGGGGCTCTTAATGAATAAATCCCTATATCTCTGTCTGTGCCTGTCTTGGAGTGTGGCGCAGATAAGGTTCGTCAGATGTGTGTGAAGTACAAGAATGATTTTTCAATGTTTATGTGTGGCACAAGTCGGAGTTTCCAAGTTGGTTGTGTGTGTGTCAAGCTTCTGAGTGATACAGGCAAGGTCCATGTCCCAGACTACCAGTGTGTGTGTGTGTGTGTGTGTGTTGGTACACTTAAGGTGGTACAATTAAGGTGTGTTTCTGTGTGTGGTACAAGATGTGTCACAAATGTAGTTATAAAGGATTGTGTTGATGTGACAGATTTGAGTGTGCGTGTGACTTGACTAAAGATGTGTGTCCTGAAATGTATGTGGAGACTAATGATGGTTGTCTAAGAATGTGATTGCAGATATGGGTGATGGTATCGAGAGAAATTGGTGATTGTTTTACTGTGTGTGTGTGTGTGTGTGTGTAATGCAATGCAAGAATGCTGTTGAGGTGTTGCAAGGAGTGGTAGGAGTGAGACAGTGCTGCCATCCGTTGCCAGGCTGCCCTTCGCCTGTCTCACTCCACATTTGTAACACATTCGAGGAGTTCAAGTCCATGATGGTATCCCGGGAGCGTGTTACTGTGAGCACTGCGAGAGTGTCCTCTGAGTGTGTGTGTGTGTGTGTGGGAGCAGCAGTACTGTAGTCGCCTCTGGCCGGACACGCGTCATCCCGTGGCCACTGGACATGGCAGAATCTGGTGCCGGGGCCACGTGTCTCCCGGCAGTAGATGTTATCACACGACCTCCAGTCGGCGACGCACTGTGAGACGAGCGTAATCTTGGGGATATTTATGGGACGTGAAAGGAGTACCGGGCAGCCATGACAGCTGGCCGGACCCTCTCATGACTCTGTCGTGTTCACCTTCTTCACCTCCTCCAGGTGTTGTCATGCTCACCTTTCTCCCATCCAGACACTGAGATATTCACCGTTCTCATCTTCCCCCAAACATTTCACTCGCAAATATAATCATAGTCTGCATTATATATATATATATATATATATATATATATATATATATATATATATATATATATATATATAGGAAATACGGAGTTGCCTCTGAAGATGTCTTGAATAAAGACGAAAGCTAAGGCGCCCGTTGTTTCTTTTCCCGATTTTATCAAGATTTATCTTATCCACGTTTTCATTGTGGATATATATATATATATATATATATATATATATATATATATATATATATATATATATAATCAACACCTCAACCCGCCAGGACTCGAACCCACGGCCCACGAGCCCATATATATATCCCCGCCATCACTTAACACACGGGGTAGGGTATGTCTTGAAGGCTTTTGGGAGAGGACCCGAGAGTAGAGTATATAACTACCCTAAGTAAAGCTCAAATGTTGTATACTCAAACATCTAATACTGAATTTGAATTTACATTGTTTACTGACTTATAATATTATTATTATTTCTGCTTTTCTTCTAGTTGTTTTTTTGTTCTTTTCGTTATTAGTGTATGACTATTGGTCTTATAAGTAGTTCCCATTATAATAACTGATCATAGTATCATTATTACATGTTTGAATGTTACTATTAACGTATTATTGTTATCACTATTACCGGGCATAGTTAACATTACTATTATTTATTTATTAATATTATGAACACAACGTAGACAGTCATACAAGCAGTGTGAGTGATGGGGGCGGCGGACGTGTGTGAGAGACTGGCATGTAAACAGATGGATGTGTGGCTGATGTGATGTTCCCAGAAGTGTGGTGAGATAGGTCTGTTATCACCCACTGCCCGGCCTGCACCACTCCTACCACCACCACCACCACCTGCTGGCTGTGTGGATGCAGGCTGTCCCCGCCACCACCACCCTGCTGCAGGTCGTCCCCAGCTGCAGGGTGAAATAAGTTGTCCAGTTTTGTTTTGACCACTGAACGCAGAGAACTTGGAGCCCGTACTTTGCGTAAACCATTTAGACGAACTTAGTATTAAACACAGATAACTTTGACAAACTTAGATGATTATTTTCTCTTCGTTTTGATAGAAGTTACTTAAATGTTAACTAGGACACCACTTGAGGCGTGTATTCGGTGCTAAATGACTCTGTCTGTTATAAACAATAGTAAATAAAAAGCATTGAACAGTAGCTTATTTCAACTGACGAATAAACACCATAGCGCTAACCTAACCCCCCAGTAGTGTTAGGAAGTTGGATTATAAGGTGAAATAAGCTAGGGGGGGGGGGGGTGGCTGCCTAATCAAGTGATCCACACCACACCCTTCAATAATAATGCTTAAAACGTGACCTATTATCCGGACAGAAACGATGTCGAGATACCTGTTGGAGATTAAATATATTTTGACTGATAAAAATATAGTTATAATCGAGCGTTTCTTTAAAGATTATATGGTTGAAAATTGTATTGACTAATATTGTAAAGTGATTCCAGTAACCAATCGATAGTTTAATTAACTTTGGATTTACATTGTGTTATTGGTAATTTATCTTAAGTTTGTAGGTGATTGAGGAATTACGTTTGTGATTTGCGATATGTACGCGTGACTCTTTGGTCCGCATTAATGAAAACAATGCCAGTACGAGCAATTGAGCGTCTGGCGTTCTGTTCTACTTCATAATCCCTCCTTTAAATAGTATACTTCAGTTTAAACCTTAAACTAAACCTTTAAATCGTCTCATAATTCGTCCCCTTAAACCATCCGTCTATACCGTACCCTTAAATAGTGCCCTAAAACTAAACCAGCAGCCTAATCTAAACCCTTAACCTATCCCTTTAGATTCTATCCCTTAAACCATCCCTTTAAAATCTAGCTCGCAGATATTTAACCCTGATTTCAATTCAGTCAACGTTAAATTAACCAAATTCAACTATGCCTCTAACCTTAAAAAATCCACCCAAATTTAACCCCAAATGAATCAGTTTCAACCCCTGTTTTTGTCAAGTCTTGGTGACGTGTGACGATGTCGTTTGACCTGATGAGTTGAGACAGTGTGAACGTTTGACCTACCATAACCAGGTATGACCCAAGGTAATGGGTGTTGTCCTTACCCCTAACATTATGTAATTGTCCACCTTCCTGGCCTACTGCGCTGCCCACCACGTAATACCTCCCAATTCTTTGTGACATCCAGGTCTTTACAGAATACCTTCCAGACAGCCATCTCTCTCGTCCTCTCCTTCCCTCCCTCCCTCCAGCTGTGCTCTTCCGTTCCTCCCTTCGTGACCCTCCGATCAGGTCCCCTCCTTTGTCTGTTCGCTGGGAGGGTAGACTGCGGGAGAAAGGGAGAGGGAGGTAGGGAGTGCAGCGTAGGGCACCCAGGCTAGGTATAAAGAGGACCCAGGGGTGGACTATCTCCCCACAGGGACTCATGCCACAGAAGGGGAATTAATAAGCGTGAGGAAGCGATGGTTTTGGGTGAGTGTGGTGAGAGTGTTGGCGTACAGACACACACACACACACACACACACACTGTATATGCTAGGTCGGCGACGCCCCTCGGGTAGTGGGCCTCGGTGAGTCACCCATCAGGGGCCTCACCACCACTACCAACCAACACAGCATCATCGCAGTTCCGGCTGTCTCGAGCTTCCCTCTCTAGGTCGCAGGTACCCACAATAGGGACAACGCGGTACCTTTCCTGTCCTACCTGCTGAACTAAGACTCTGGAACCTCTTGAGATTCATCTGTTGACTCCCCCCCCCCCTCCTCACTGACTGGGTCTATGTAAGAACAGGTCTGGTTGCGATACAGACCGAGTGAATTGGACGCTATTCCGCCTGCTATGTTTTTGTCGTTGCTCAAGTGTACGAGGTGAAGGCGTGCTCTGATAGCCATTTTGGGAAAGGTATCGTAAGAACCTTTGAAATGTATTTATCTAGGTTGAGGGAGGGAGTCCATCTGACGAGGGAGGATGTTGATTATACGAGGGAGATTATCAACTAGAAAGGGAGATTATCACATAGAAAGGGGGATTATCAGCCGAGACGAAGCCAAATCGACAACACAACTGAGATTATAGTAAAGATTGTCGACTGTATTGCTAACCTTAATAGGGACGACGGAACCTTTGCCTAGGGCCCTAGACGGTCGCCCTGACGATTGTTTTACAGGGTCGAATTAAAACTTTTGTTTGGTGTTACTGTTGTGAAGCTCCCAAGGTTAGAGGCCCATCCAAGTGTTTACGCCTTGTTTACCTCGTGTTTGCTTGATTTGTTTTTCTCGTGTTTGCTTTGTTTTTCTTTGGTGTTTGACATGTTTTTTCTTATTTGTTTTTTCTTGTGTTTACTCCTTGTTTACTTTTGTATCTGATCATTTCTTTACCTATTGTTTACTTTTGTTTTCATGTTTGTATACTTGGGTTGACTTTTGTTTAACTTTTTAAAATTATTTACCTAATGCTGACTTGTCTCTTGTTTACGTGTTTGAATCTTGTTAACATCTTTTCTACTCTTGTTTAACCCATGATTGATTGAATTAGTTGACTTACGATAAGTTAGGACGATTATTTTAACCCTCTTTTTCCTTATGTGGTTAAATTAAATGTTAATAGTTTAGATAATTAGATTTAACCCCTTGTGAATGATGGTTTTCAACCCTTTCATCCCCTAAGGGTTATTTATTTTAGATCAGGAAAGATAAGGTTTAATTTCCTCTGGGCATCATCATCTCCACTCCAAGATGTCTCCTGTATAGTCTTGACTCTTTCCAACCTACAATATAGTTTCTTAAGTCTCTAGGCCTCTGGTAAATACCGGTTGTAGGCCTACCTGAGCCCCCTCCCTAACTTACCTTACCCAGTTTGTAAGGACGAGAGAGTGACAAGGAGGTAGTTTGTGTTGTGGGTTAGTGGTTGATGGTGGTGGTGGTTGGTTGTGGTAGTGGTGGTTGGTAGTAATGACTGCTGGTGATAAGTGTTGGTGGGTGATGTGATGGTGGTAGTTGTTGTTGTTGAAAGTGGTAGTTCTTTTTTTTTTTGACATCCATGGTGGGTGGGTGGTGGATGACAATGGGTGTGGTGCGTCATCCGTCAGTAAGACCATAATGCCGTACAGTAAACGAAGCTGATTAGTGTGTGTGTGTGTGTGTCCGTCCACCCCTAAGATGGCCTCCCCTCGCACACACACACACACACGTCGTAACTTGTGTACATCTTTGAATATCTTTCCTTGTTTACACTTTCGCTAGCAAACCTGTTGGAACCTGCCTTCTCTCTCACACACACGGCCAAACATGCTGTAGCCCGCGGCCAGTATTGTACATCCCGGCCTTGGTGCACAAACATGTTCAAACACGTGGCATTGATCACCTGTGTAAATCATTGCCACACACACACACACTGTACCGTCTTAACAATTACACATATAGACACACCTTTAAGAACTTGTTACGGTACAGCGCCCATTCCTGTAACTACTCCCTTCAACCTCCCACCTCTCACACACCCTCTCACACCCCTACCTCTCACACCCCCACCCTCACCCCCCACCTCTCACACCTCCCTCCCTCTCACACCCCCCCTCACACCCCCTCCCTCTCACACCCCCTCCTCTCACACCCCCCTCCCTCTCACCCCCTCCCTCTCACCCCCCTACCTCACACACCCCCCCTCTCACACCCCCCTCCCCACACCCCCTCACACCCCTCCCTCACACCCCCTCCCTCACACCTCCCACACCCCCCACCTCTCACACCCTACCTCTCTCACCTCTCACACCCCCCACCTCACACCCCCACCTCTCACACCTCCTCTCACACCCCTACCTCTCACACCCCTACCTCTCCTCACACCCCTACCCACACACCCTCACACCCCCACCTCACACCTCCCTCACACACCCCACCCTCACACCCCCACTCCCCACCCCCACCCCCACACCCCCACCTCTCACACACACCCCCACCCTCACACACCCCCACCTCACCACCCCCCACACCCCCACCTCTCACACCCCCACCTCCCCACCCCCACTCTCACACCCCCTCCCACACCCCCTCCCTCTCACACCACCCCCCCACCCCTCTCACACCCCCTCTCTCCTCACACCCCCCACCTCCACACACCCCCCTCACACCCCACCCCCACCTCCACCCCACCCCCACCTCCACCTCCCACCCCCCACCCCCCCACCTCTCTCACACCCCCACCTCTCCACACCTCACACCCCACCTCTCACCTCTCCCCTCACACCTCTCACAGTGTTAGGTCTTTGGTCAGTAGGTGAAACGAGAAATATTATACAGACAGATGACAAGCAATGGACAGCATAGCAACAGCATTAACAGCGAAGGAAACAGGAGAAACGGCAAACAATGGGAAAAACAACAGAAGAGGGACAGAGCAACAGTAACGGTAAAGCAGTATTAACAACAGTGGTCACGGGAGGAGGAACAGTGGAGAGAACAGCAAAAAGTAGTAGCATAAGCAGCAGTGGGGGGGGGGGCAGGTGTAGGGCAGAGCAGTAGCAGTAACAGTAACAGCAGCAGTAACAGCAATAGCAACAGCAATAGCAACAGTAAGAGCAGCCGCAACAGCATGAGGGATGATCGAGGTTGAGAACGATACGTATTTTTAGTGATGTCTCAGAACCTCCGCCCACACCCTGTTAGTGTGTGTGTGTGTGTGTGTGTGTGTGTGTTATGACTGTGTTTGTTTGAGTGTGTGTGTGTGTAATTATGATTTTTTTTTTAGAATTTTGTTGTATAAGAAATTTCATCATATATTATTTTGATGTGTTGACTAACCTTATATTTAACTCATATTTTATTGTGTCTTGCGTGTTCCACCTCACTTCCCCTCACTTCCCCTCAAGTGTTGTGTCGGTTATGTATTCCCTCACTCACGTCTCCCCTCACTCCTACGTACCACTCACCTTGTCATTTCCAGTATCTGTGGAACCCTCACTGGTGGCTCCTCCCTCCTTCACCTGTCCCCATATTCACCTGTCCCTCATTCACCTGTCCCTCATTCACCTGTCCCGCATTCACCTGTCCCCATATTCACCTGTCCCCATATTCACCTGTCCCCATATTCACCTGGTCCCATATTCACCTTTCCCCATATTCACCTGTCCCCATATTCACCTGTCCCTCATTCACCTGTCCCCATATTCACATGTCCCTCATTCGCCTGCCCCCTTACTGTCTTCTCATTTACCTGTCTCCTCTGATTAATCTGTCCTCACACACACACCTATCCCCTCATTCACCTGCCCCATTTACTGTTTCCTTCACCATGACTGACCCTCTGTCTCCCCCATTGGACAGGTGTGTCAGGCGGAGCGGCAGGAGGAGGAGGTGTTCACGCTGGCCATGAACATGATGGACAGGTTCCTCTCGCTGGTCAAGATGCGGCGGGAGCAGCTACAGCTCTTGGGCACCGTCTGCCTCTTCCTCTCCTCCAAGATCAAGGAGTCTCCGCCCCTCGACCCCTCCCGCCTCGTCCAGTACACCGATAACTCCGTCACCCTCGAGGAGATCAGGGTGAGTGTCACGCTTCTCGTTTAGGGTGAGTGTCACTTTTTTGTTCTCACACCCTCCAGGAAATCGGGGTGAGTCACGCTTCTTTTGTTTTTAAGGTGTGTAGTGTGTCATGTTGAGGGTGAGTGTCACTTCTGTTCTTTTCTCCATCTTCCACGATGAGAGGTCAGTGTGTCACCTACCATAGGCGAGTGTGGACGGAATATGTACCGATTTTGTCGCTAACTTTCACCAGCTGCCCAACACCTACACCGCCCGCCATACGCCTACACTAACGCTCTAACACCTGGACGCCGTAACGGGCACCACACCTATACTAAACGGCCACTTCCCACCGTACAGTACAGGTCAGTTGTTACTAGCTCACTGTCATCACTGCTGTCAACTGGAACATCAATACGTTTTAAGAAGTATTAACTTTCGTAAGTCTGGTCATTAGGAAAAATCGTAAATTGCTTATATTCCTTCTGGATTTTTTCCTCGTTCATTATATTCGGCTTTGTTGTTTATTCTTTCACAACATATCCCTCATCGCCACGTCCTCCAGCCTCCTGTACAAGAACCAGTCCCTCTCATCCTTCATCAAAGTCTACGGAAATCAGAGGCCAGATGCACTGATAGACGGGGTCGGTGTAGGCAACACAATGGTCCACAAAAACCATCAGTCGGTAGCTCAAAGCCTCGCCCGGCCGCCTGGATTATTATTTTTTTCGCTCTCGTGTGGTCATCCTCTCGAGCCATTCCTACCGTTCCAGGGATAACGAGGTAGCCATAACAGAGCATTCCAGCCGTGACGTAACCCTTCCCTCACACGCCCAGGGAGGCCTACGGTGGCGGGGACCTGCCCAATTCTACCACCTAACCACGGTGGTGACCCAACACCCATAGGCCTGCTGAGTCGTACCGCTTAACCAGTGTGGTAGAACAGCACCTAGAGCCCTGCTGAGACCTGTCGGGTGTGTGAGGGCGGGAGATGAAGTGGGTGTGGGCGGGCAGGCGGGTGAGTGGGTAGGTGGGTGCTTGGCATACCGCCCGTCATCAGCTGGCAGTGAAAGGATTACCTCCGTCTGCCTCGTTGAATTCTCTGAAGACGTACAATAAATCTTCATTTTTTGTCGTGGTTCGGAAGTCACCTTTTTGTAGGTGTATCCTGACAGTATCGTCCCCGGCGGCTTACCTACTGCCTCACCTCCACAGGTACAACATCTTACACCAGTCTACCTTACACACCATACACACACACCTGATAATTATAGTAATTGTTAACTGAGTGAATCTCTACATAAAAAATTTGGAATATGGTCATACATACATACATACATACATACATACATACATACATACATACATACATACATACATACACTGTTTGTAACCGGCAGTGTACCTCTGAGTTAGGTGAGTCAGCTGCCAAGTCTTCAGTTAGAGGCACCTGGAGAACTACCAGCCGCCTCCTGTATCAGCGGCGTGTATCAGGTTGCTGGAGTCTCACTACCCTCCGAGGAGTGACCAGACTGTGAGAGCCTCCACCCAGGGCTCAGCTTCTCACAGTCTCTTATGCTAAATTGTCTTCGTGACTGAGGGCTCAAGAACACACCTGACTGACATGAATTTAAACTTCGAGATTGTGCCTTAACTAGACATGTTTACGTAAAGTAAGTTGTGAGGATGAACTTAATTCCCTGAAGTCTTGTGATGCCTGATGCTGATTCCTAGCTCTTTAGTGACAGGTTCATGGGCGGTCACTCTTGGTCCTCTGAGAGCTATTGTTTACAGGTACGGAAAATATCAAAAAATCCCCATGACAGACAAGTGCAGGACAGTGTGTAAGGGTGGGAATGTGGGTGTAGCGAGGTGTAGGAGGGTGGGTGTGGCAAGGTGCGTGTGGGTGGGTGTGGGCGCGGGGCAGCGATCCATGAGAAGGGGGTGTGGAGGGTAGGGGCGGGGTTATCAACCTCAAGATAACCCCAGTTGCAGAATTATCCCGCTGTTTATACGGGAACCAACCCGACCAAACATCCATTTAAAAGGGGTTGTCAGGCCTCGAGCAGGGCACAATTTATAACATAGAGCTACTACCCCTCCCTCCCTCCCCCCTCTCTCACCCTCCCTCTTTCTCTCTTGATCTGCCTCTGTCCTGGCAAGCCTTTGATATCCTCCTCCTCCCTCCCACTCTCTCTCTCTCTCTCTCTCTCTCTCTCTCTCTCTCTCTCTCTCTCTCTCTCTCTCTCTCTCTCTCTCTCTCTCTCTCCTTTTCTCCGTCTCACCCTTCTCTCCTTCTCGCTGGCCCTCCTTCTCGCTGGCCCTCCTTGATCTCCTTCACCTACGCCTTCCTCTACTAAGTCACCGTCGTCACACATGGGTCCTCCCTCCGTACCACCCCAAGTGTCGTGCGAGCCCTCATCACCCCAGCAGGAATCACAGCTGTTGAGGGAGTCGCACCGGGAGGAGGAAGAGGCCCACGTTAAGGTGTGTTGAGGGAGGGAGGGAGGGACGTACACTTGGTGGTCGAGGCCCTCCACCATACAAAGGACACCTCACACTTTACGGCACGCCACTACACTGAAGAAGCGTTGCAGGGAGGGAAGCCGGGGATAGCGAACACATTGAGCCCGTATCTTAAGGTCATATGATCCGTGTTGTGGCTGTATTTGGGTTCGTATTATCTGTATTAGAACTGTACGTAATCCGTATTATTCATAATGAATCCGTATTTAACCCGTGATATCCGTAATGGAGCCGTATTAACTATATTTAGGACAAATTTTGTTGGAAGTCATTTCTATTTGTCCTTTAACTTACACACACACACACACACACACACACACACACACACACACACACACACACACACACACACACACTGCAGGACGTCGACACCACACAAGAGGAAAAATCGTTCACCCTTCATTTTCCTCCTGATAACTAGACACCAAAAGTGATTAAATCTGTTTTAATATCTATGGGAGAGAGAGATAGAGAGGGGGTAGAGTATATTGTTATTAGCTAATGTCCCCCTCCTGGCCTCCACCCCCTCCCCTCTGGCCTCCACACCCCTCCCCCCACCCAACCTTCCTTCCTTCCCGGAGTACACACGACGGCGGCCGTTTCCTGAACATAAACGTCACCATTTGTTAAAAAGTTTATGAGGTTTTCTTTCTTTAGGGAGTAACTCAGTGAGCCATGTTACGTCACATATACCGCATCTCTCTCTCTCTCTCTCTCTCTCTCTCTCTCTCTCTCCCTGCCCCGTGTAGGGTAGTGCCCAGCCCACGTGTGTGTCAGACACCTTCCTCACACACTACACTTGGCACTTCCTCCTGGTGACTTTGGCGCTTCCTTAGTGTCACCATAACCTGACATGTCGTGTGGCACTCTCAGCCAGCTAGGACTGGTGGGGGGACTACACCTGTTGTGGGAGGAGAGAGGGGTGGGCAGTGAGAGAGGTTGTTAGGTGTAAGAGTGAGTAGGGTTGGTTAGGTTATGTTAGGATTGGTTAGGTGAAGGTTGGTGTGGTTAGGACAGGTCACAATGACAGGTCCCCCCAGGTAACATAGGTGTACCTGTCACCCCGTAGCCAGGTTTTGTACCCGGGGCAGTTTTAAGAGTTCCCTATTGTGACTAAACCTGTCTAGTAACGCCAGTCGTCCTATGATCTCCATTTTCTTCCTATCTCTTCTTTCTCGTTCTTCTTTTAATTCATTTTTGTTTTGTTTTCTCAGTTCTTCTTATTCCTGTTTCAATGTTGTTTATCTTGTGCTTTGTTTATTCTAATCTTCATTTATTCTAGTTTTCTCTAATTCTTGTTTATGTTTCCGTTTTTCTCGAGTTATTTTTTGTTTACACAGTTTTCCGTGTCTTCGTTTGTTGTGTTTACGTCTCTCTCTCTCTCTCTCTCTCTCTCTCTCTCTCTCTCTCTCTCTCTCTCTCTCTCATATATGTGTTATCTGTCATAGCTCAGGCTTAAGCGGCTCACGGCGGCGGTGTTAAGCTTTTAATTAAAAAATACCCAAACGATTTGTCTCAAAACTCAAGAGTCGTTTCATGTAGGATTTTTGTGACGCCGTAAACCTTCACTAAGTGTTATCAATGGAGTCTCAGAGTTATATTAGAGCTTTTTGTGAAGATAACGTAAATATAGAACCTCTTACCCAGCGTTGTAGACCTTTAATATAATTGTCAATTCGTCTGTTTGATCTAATATTGGTTATACTATGGTAAGTAATAATCCACTTATCCAATCCTGAAGTATCCCTTAAAGCAAGTATTTATCTCTTACTGTAACTTCTCCCTTAACCCGTGTTAGTGTGGCTGCTGCCCTGAGTTAGAGAGGCCCAGTCAAATCCCTTGAAAACGGAGACGCTGTAGAGTTGAGGAAGACCAAGTTATGTCGAGCCGCGAAGTGATCACATTCCTCCCTCGCTCTCTCCTGCCTCGCCCACTGAGTCCCACGATGTTTATCCTTCTGTCCCAGATCCTGGAGAGTCCGAAAAGGGCCACACCATCCCTGGGAGCCGTAAGGGCCTGGCAGGAAGGGCAGGGCAGGGCAGCATCGCGGTCGGGGGAGGGGGAGATAGATTTAGATCACACGGGGAAAGAGGGAGAATCCCCCATTTAAGATTCCAGGAGTGTGAACTGACTCAATCCGGTGAGTCTGTGTTATCTGAGGGATCTTTGGGGTGACATATAAGATTGGGATACAACCTTCAATCGTCTCAGCCAGCGAATGGAATGGAATCAAGCTAAGAATTTTGTAAGGAGGGCGGGGTGGCATTACCTTTCCTCCTTCTCTCTAAAATTGTATCTCCTGCTGTGTGTGTGTGTGGGTGTGTGTGTGTGTGTGTGTGTGTGTGTGTGTGTGTGTGTGTGTGTCTCGTGGTCTTAGCCTATCCTGTGTGGTCCCGTTGGAAAGCAAAATAATAAACGGTAAAGACGGGCAGTAACTAAAGATGGTGATAGCCCGTAACCTGAACCCCGGGTATTAGTGTTGTGTCGGAGAGAAG